CTTCCACGCTCCGTCAACCCGCAGTCGGACGTATATATTGGAAGCACTAGCATCACTTATCCCAGTCGAGAACACAATCGTAGGGCCAAGTTACTGGGTATTCAGCACGGACAGTTTATTAATGCGGAACCGGCCCTCAGATGGTGGCATCATTTTGGCAACTATGACGAGTTTGCTACATGGGTCATCTTCACAGACTCCGACCACACCGTCACCTGGACCCAGGAACACGCCTTGATTAGCATCTATCAGCCGTCCCTCAATTGGCCCTACATTTATCGGCGGTACAAGCGCATTTCCACTGGCTATACGGCTACCAGGTTTCTCGCCGAACAGCCCTGGTCCAGGTTCGGCAAACGCCTTTTCCTCCGCTTGCGCAGGAGGAGTTGCACAGTCTATGGCAGGAACTTCCATCGGGTGGCGCTCAAACACACCCAAGCCTGGTCCATCATCGCTCGCCTCACCTCAGAGCACATTGAATCCTGGGAGGAGGAAAAACGACTTCGTAGTGGACGGCATTCAGACCTGGATATATATGCTATATACAGGCTGTCAGGCAATGTGGAACAGCCCCACCGGCATCGAGTTCGGAATATTTTGCGAAGAGTTCTTGATTTCCGCCAACTCCAACAACCCAAGATCAACTTGTTGTTACGATTACCGTGGCTGTCCCATCCCCATTATCAGAGGTCCACCAGGGAAGTCCTTCGTCGGCTTGTTCTCGACCATCGCAACTGGGCTCTTCCATTTCACTTACCCAGCACGAAGTTGGCGGAGACCCCTCATCCTCGGGTTCATACAGTCATGTGGAACTTCTCGTCGTTTCAGGACAGTTACCTCCTGACATCCGCAGGACCATCATCGTGTCAGTGCGTAGCCTGGCTAAAACGACAGCCCTGGCTATCTCATGTTCAAGGCCATGTGGCCGCGGGGTTGGATGAGTTCCGGTTTCCGGGAACCCCGCAGCACGTTCATTACACCTCAGCCTTGGCGTCATATTATGTGGATCTTTCAGTCTACGAAGTGCAGGTTCATGAACGCCTACGAAAATGGTGCCTGCACCATGGTCTGCCCTTGGACCAGTTCCACGCACCCCTCATGCAGCACCTGCGCAGTGAATTTATGACACATCGGCAGCACGCATCCACCCATCAACTTCTCACCAAGCACCAGCTGAACATCCTGCATCGACACCTCGGCCAGGACTTTGTGTGCCATAACGAGGATCATGACAACCACCACCTCATGTTCTTCTGCCCCCAACTCTACTTCAAAGGCCTCCACAACACCTGGCTTCAGTCCGGCACATTTGCCGCCACTCCGCTGAAGCCCGACCAAGCCGAGGCTCTTATTGTTGAAGCTATCCCCCGGCACCTGCAGAAGAGGTACAAATGGGCATACAGGAAGAAGACCACCGCGATCCCGGTCGGCAAAGTCTTTCTCAAACGTAAGAAGCAATGGAAATCGGGGCGAACTATTATAGCCTACCATAAGGTGGTACACCGGCAGCTCTTCAAAGCGGTTGCGATCCTTCTCGGCGAGATCGCCGCGAGTACATGGAAGTGTTCGTGGGGGGTACACCCCACGCCGAAGATATGGCAGAACGTCAAACGATACTTTGACAACACAGACGATACAGTCACTCTCGCATTTCACAATGACGATTTGGTCGGCTTCTTCAACAGTGTCCCTCAGGATCAGGTGTGCGCAGCAGTTGAGCAGTTATTAGCAGAGCACCGACGAGAGCATCCTGGTCTCATCTATTCGGTGGAAACTCAGGCGGCGGTCCACTACAACCGGGTTTTTGCGGGTAAGCAATCCTACGGACGTACGCCGACTACGCGGGTCATTTATGTGGAGGACATCCTGGATATAGTCAAATCCAGCTTCCAATGCATGTACGTCCAGGTGGGCACTCTCATTCTTCGCCAAGTCCACGGAACAGCGATTGGCTCTCAGCTGAGCCCAGTTCTCAGTCACATTTGCGTCGCGCGGCACGAAGTTCTTTGGCAGCGTATTTACGGACAATGGTTCGCCAGCCACAACATCTTCTTGGAGCGATATGTCGACAACAGATTTGTGATCTTCCCGTCTCCGGCTTCCGGTCACCCAGCAGCCCCATTGGAGGCTTTGCTTCATGCTGACTTTTATGGTGCACCCATCGTGTTGGAACAGGTGGGTTCCTCTGAGTTCCTCGGCTTCGTCATCGACGTGGGCGACCGTGCGATTTACTACAAAACCCCATCAAAAATCTGGCAGATCAGAGGACCCCACACTGCAGGAAGTCTTTCCACCCTTCTCTCTGGGGCTAGATCACGGTCAGCCCTCGCTACGAAGTATGCACATCCGGCCCGAGCAGTACAGATGGCGTTGGATCAGCTTCGCAGTATCTATTTGTCCGCCGGCTACAAGTCAGTGGATCTGCAGCACCTGTTTCATCTTCCGGCCATCCCAACCGGAAAGAATATTTACGTGCTGATTGTCGTTGTTTCTCGCGGTTCGGCTGTGTGACTCTTGTTGGTTCTGGTCTGTTTGGTCTTCTTCCAAACCGGGTCTGGCTCGGTTGGGCTGTTGCGCTCGGTTTTTCTGTTTGAGTTCCGGGGCCCCTGACTCTTGGCTTCATCACGGAGCTTGTCTGGTGGTTCAAGACGTGGGCCTTTTCGCCGACATCGGAAAGCGGTCGTCATGCTCGGACGCATGATAGCACTCACCACCGAATGACCCAGAACGCTGCGGATATGATGCAGCTCATCCAGGAGACCTTGAATCAGGCTGACGAGGCGCACAGTCGCAGGATTCATGGCGGGCACGATTGCGTGCGGCATCATCATGTCCGAGGTCTGTCGTTGGCAGACTCATCGCGACCGCGAGCACACGACCATGCACGACTCGATGAAGTAGAACCACCTGGCCACGGGATTCGGCATTCGGTCAACTCGGAGGATCTGGCCGACCCTCCACCACCAGTCGACTTTCAGTCACTCCAGCTACACGTGGACCACCAGCACAACGCAGTGGTTAACCCCAAGTCGTTGTCCTACGGCGTCGTCACGGGGGACGCCAACGAGGCTATAGACCCGCGCCCGAAGAGTTCCATGGCGCACACCCATGTTGGTCAGCCGAGCATCAAGAAGGCCAATATTCCCAGCTCCATCATGGACAAGGGTGGGACCGATCGGCGCAGAACAAAGCGGAAGCGATGCCGTGCTACATCCTCCGAGAGGACGCACTCCCCGGAGCCTCCAGCACGTCCAGTACCTCGCACTCCAGCGCCAGCTCCAGTATCTCCTTGCGTGGGCCCATTCTCCTCTCCTGAATCCCTTCCTGAAGCCCCTGCTCGTGCTCACTCCGATGCCGGCAATCCAGGAACTCCCCCGGAAGTACCTCGCGCCTGGACAGAGGAAGATGACCAGCAGCTTTGCAGCCTGAAAGCGGACAACCGGTCCAAGTACTCGTACAAATCGCTGGCCAAGAAGCTCAACCGGTCCATCGCGGATGTCACGCAGCGCTGGAGGAGCCTGGAACGTCTCAGAAAGTTGAAGGAGCAGCATCAGAAAGCGACCATCTCGAACCAATGCACCTGAGTCCAGACGGTGATGCTACATGTCAAAATGACCGTGAGCAATTAAGCATAGGCAGGAGTTCTGCCAACAGTCCAAATTACCCATCGGGAATCATGATGGAGGCGGCTTTTAGGTGTTTCGTTTTTTCCCCCTGCGGGGGGTGTGTGTGTGGCCCCCCTGTTTCTAAGGGGTTTCTGCTGTCCTTTTGAGTTTGGAGTCGGACGCCACCTTCATTCATGTCCTGGCATGCAGTAGCCAGATTGGCCGTTGGCGTCCCTGAAGAGGAAGGCCAATCTAGGCGAACAATGTTCAGGCATGTGTGAAGCCGAAACTCCATTGCCCTGCCGGAGACCTTCAAACAGCCTGTACCTGCATGGTGGTGCGCATTGTCAGTTTTGCCGTCTCATATCAAGTGTGTTTTTGCGGTATCCGAGTAAAATTTTGGCGGTTTTTGTGAGTTTTGCGAGGTTGCCCTTATGCGGAGATGGCTATGTCACGAAAGGGTCAACTCTTTTGACTGAGGTTTCTGAACGTCAACGGTTCGTGCACAGGTGCTTGGCGTGGCTTCTTCATGTCGGACGCTGGCCAAACACTTTTCACTGTCTCGGCTGCAGCATTGTGCACCCAAAGAGAACGCTGGATGCCGAAGAACACGTAACTTTGATTTCCAAAAGGAAGCTAACGAGGGCATGGGTAATCTTGCCAGCTTTGCAGGGCCCCCCTCCATTTAATACGAGCGGGACGCGTTTCCAATTGTTCCATGTTGGATCTTCGGTGCACCCCTTCCACACAGGTTAAACGTTGCATCTCCCCCTGCCTCCCATTCTTGAAGGCAAGGGAAAACATATTCAAATTCAGATGTGCCTCTGAGCGTGCTGGATCTGAAGGCAGTCATTGGATGGAAGGTGTGCGCCATGGCAATCAAAAAACCTGGCCAGTCGATCCCAAGTCTCAGCCAATTGTTGCAGTTTGCCAAGTTCCATGGGTCTCCTGGTTCTCCAGAAAGCTTGAGCCTCTTTTTTTTTTTGCGGTGCAACTCCGATGGGTTGAAGTTGTGACGCACCCACTGGAAATTAAGGAACCGCAAAGGCAACGTGCGTCTCGAAACGAAGGGGGCCGCCCAAAGTGGCTTTCATGTGGATTTCCCTAACCCAGCTGCACCCCCTGCAGCCCCAACAAACAGCGACCCTCAGAGAAAGAGAGAGAGAGAGAACCAACCTGGAAGGGGGCACCCTCAACAGAAACAACTAGGCCCCCCGGCTAGGTGCCCTTTTACCAACTTCTTTTTTGGGGGGAGGGTTTTGCTACTAAAATAGACTAGGGTACCCTTATTCTAACCTCCCTACTGGACCTAGGCAAGTTGGACTCTTAAGACATAAAGCAAAGCTGACGCGCTGAACGAGGAAACCCGAAACCCGTCCGTTTCCAGCGCCCGCCATGACGGGCGGCTGCCCGCCGGCGCGGGTGATCAAGGGCCGCTTGGAAGGGGTGGGTGGGTTAAGCCGAGAAAGGACACCAAGGCAGAGATTGCCCATTTAAAAAACGTGGTTTCTCCAACTGGCCTTAAACTACCCTGAGACATGGGTGAATATTGAAATGACATAGGCTCCAGGTAGACGGCAGGTTTGACCGTCTTAGCTTGCATTTGTAAACGGCCAGCCTTCATATGCAAAGATCAAGGCGCAAGAGAGGTTCGCAGATCGCCCCGTTGTGACCAACGGACGGAAGGGGGCAGGGCAGCCAAGGGAATCTGCAAACAGGGGAGGAGCAACATGGGGGTGTCTCAAAAATAGGTGGCCTCCTTTTGGTTGTGAAAGGAAACCAACAGGATGTAGAACTCGACTATTTGCGGTGGCGTTTGTTTGAGTTGAAGGCTCAGCGGTACCTGAGGTCACATGTCCCAGGAGGAGTATGATGCCCTTGGCTACCCTTCCATCCCGGCGGAGTGGACGAGGGAGCCTTGCTATCTCTGAGCTTGCTTTCTTTGTCTTGCTGGTGCGATAGGTAGGGAATTTGAGAATGAACCCAGAAATCCCCTTAAAGGAAAGCACACAGGATGGTCTATAGGAGGTCATTCCCTCATCCGCCGCTGAGCACCAGCAAGCTGTTGCTTTTTTTGCGGCAGAACAATTGTGCAGGAAACGCCGTTGGCTATCAACAAAAATATTCACTGAAAGCAGCCCAAGGGCCCACCCCAAAGTACAAGACAGTCAAGGGATGTCAAAGATGTTGTTTGCCAGTTGGCGACGCTGGGGGCATGTTTACATCTGCTTTCTGCTATGTCGCCTTGTGCCGCCTTCACGGCAAGTATCACAAAGGGTCCGAATCACTCCCTTTGAATTTGCACCTATTCCAACTCTGCCCACATTGCCATCACACGGATTGTGGCTTCAACAATTTCAAGTCCTGAGAGGGTCCAACCCCCTTTGTCTCCCCAAATCCTTCAAGACTCAGTGTATCGATTTTTTCACCTGTCACCAACAAGCTCAAGCGATATCCCCAACAGCACCACACCCTCTCAGAATCCGGTACAACCCTCTACTTTGTGGAACCCTCCTGGTGGAACCCTGGTGGAACCCTCATGGAACCGGTGGAACCTTGCCTCAAACCACCCCGGACCACCCCGCAGCCCTCGCAGAACCTGGTGGAACCCTGGTGGAACCCTGGTGGAACCCTGGTGGAACCCTGGTGGAACCTTACCTCAGGGCCGCCCCGGACCACCCCGGCTATCTGGGCTGAGACCCCAAAGCTTTCAGCTGTTGGGGAAAAAGTAGCCTTCAGCTTCCCGAGTTTCATTCGAGTCCCCCCGCACCTCAGCCTCAGCCCGCCGCTGGCGGTCCCGCAGCTCGGCGCTCGCAACTCGCCTGGCCAAGGAGTGGATGATGCAGCAGATCGAGCTGGAGAAGGTGGACCCCCGGGTGAACCCAAACCTCCTGCTGGAAGAGACCGACCAGGCGCCACACGAGGAAGTTTTTTGCCCTGTCCGCAGGCGGAGGTTTCTCCGCAAAGGCTGGAGACTTTTTGGATTCTGTGGAGGTGCGGCCATTGGGGCGTTGTTGGTCTATTGGTGGAGGGGTTGGCATCATCAGCTCTAAGTGACTGAGAAGCACACCCTCCTACCTGCCGGTAGCCACTCACCGGGCATGAAATGACAAGCCACCGAATGGTGGCATAGAGGCATGTCGAGGGGCTTAGAAGCTTAGGGGCCATGTGTTTATCCAGGACCATGTGAATTCTACACACGGCTGCAGAAAGCAAACTGTTGGCCTGACAGCATAACCCCAAGTTTCCTGGCACGTCCGACCGTATCAACCCTTCTTTTCTACTTGTCTTTGTTTGATGTACTTGTTTTTGTTTGTTTGATGCCCTTGTTGAGCAAAACGCCACCAGCGCAAACAACGGCACCTTTCAGCCTGCTGCCCGCAGCCCTTCGCTCAGCTCTGCTTGTTTCCTATGCCTGGGACGCATGGGGGAGAGGCTGCCCCAACGTGACTCTTCCGCAACTCTTTGCCGGCGTCCAACCCAAACATGAGTGGGTCAGTAGCCGCTACCCGTGCTGCCCACAGCCACAGAGAAATGGCGCGGCCTCGGCTTTCTCAGGAGTTCTGGGACAATATGTCCCGGAAGCCCTACGCCAAAGCCATCCTGAAGTCCGAGCGGCACTGGACACAGCGCCGGAGGCTTTGGATCCGGCAGTACGAGCAGGCCCCGGCTGAAGAAGGGTTAACGGGATACGTTCTGGCATGGAAATTCATATGACCCTTGCGTTTTTTTGCGGGTGTCTTTTTTAGGGCACCCACCCCCCCCAAATGGTGGGTTTCCTTTGGTCCCTCCCCCCCCCCCCCCCCCAGCAGAAACATGTCACACCCGTGTAAGTTTTGGGGAAGTCTGTTTCGGAGCTATCCATCTTACAAATTCTCCCAGTCTGAACGGTGTTGCGTCGAGGTGGAACTGGCCAACGCTCTGCGCCAGGCCGGGGGATTTCTTGGTTTGTGAATATGGGGGTGTCGTTGTTTAAGTTTTTTTTGAGTTTTCTCCATTGAGAGCCACAAAGAGGGTACCAACTCAGTCCTAGTTTGTTGATAGGGGTGTTTTTGGGTTCAGTGGGGAAGCACTGGAGGCCTATTGTTGCTTTTTAAAATTCCTTGATCCACAAATTATCACACATGATTTACCCAGTGTCAATCCCAGCCCCTAGACTCCAGGCCATCCTGGCTTAAGCCGGACGGTTGCTCGTGTTTGTGGGGGAAGCCCCCGTAGCCAATGGCTTCCCTTTAGTTTCCCTTGAACAGCAACCCAAGAAGAAGTGCAGCGCCAGCAAGATTCGGGGCTTTTCCGGTGAGTTTGAAGGCCAGAAGTGCGAGGCCGCGATTTTGCAGCACTGGCAGCATAGGGCAGCATCCGAAGGGCATGTCTCCCTCCCCAAACTCCGGGGTTCAAGCAAAGACAAACATGGAGCCTCACCAGCGGCTCCTTTTGAAAGCGGATGGTCTTCCAGGGACCCCTACGCAGGTGCAATGCTTGCTTTTGGGGAGGGTGCTTGTTTCCAACAATCATGGAAGTGGACAGAGGTCTTTGCAGAACGACGGTAGTCTTCCAAAACTCCCTTTGATCGTCAGCCTCTATGATTGTTCAACAGTAAGCCACTGGCGGCGTTGCTTTTTGTGCTATCTGGAATGGGATGGGTCGACCACGGCCATGCCCTCCCTCCAAGGCGGCATTGGCAGCAATCAGGATGATTTTCAACAAGCCACAAGTCAGATAACCCTTAGTTGGCAGTTTGGATTGGTGGCTTGGGGATTTGCACCCCTAGTTCTTGTGGAGGGTAAACGGGAACCCCCTCCGTAACTGCCAAGTCACGGATTCCAAGCCACCAATTTTAATGTTAATCAACCCCAGAGTTGCTAATAGGGGGGCGTTCCCTCCACCAGAGATGATTCCCCACCAAGCGGTGACACCCTATGAATAAACTGGAGTTGAAATTCATATGGGGTCCACATGACTTGACGTAAGGAGGCCGCACCTGCCCCACCCCCCACCCCCAAAAAGGGAACCATTGCCAGGAAGTGGTCGCAGAGCTGGAGCTTTGCGCGCCGGAGGTGAAACGCCTGGTGGCGCCCATCATGCGCTTTGGCACGTCAGCTGTCAGCCCCCGGCTCTCGGAGTCCACGCCCCACAACTCTTGGGGAAGACGAGGGGTTTTTTGGTTCTGATTGCGCCTGAAAAAAACCTGGGGTGTTGATGAGGCGTGTGGGATGACGTGCTGCTTTGCCAGCTCTTCTCGTTTTGGGGCATGTTTTGTTTTTCTTTCCGCCCCTCCGTGCTCAGGTCGCCAGAGAGATGGAGAAGCATCAAGTAAGGCTAAGCAACCTGAGCAGGCATGTCCCTTTCCACACGTGCAGGTGTTGAAGGTAAGCCTTGTGTGGCAGCTACGCCGGTGCGATGATTTTACGGTTGAAGGGGGTGTTCCTCCAGGATGGATGCCTTCCAAGATGGGGGCAAACCCGTTTAGAACCAGAAGCACCTATGTCAAAATGCGCGCGCCCCAAGTTGCTGACACCCCGCTGTTTGATGGACCCTCTTTGGAATGTGCTGAGGGACAACAAGGCTCACTTACCCAAAGCCCAAAGCCGACCTTTTGAGCTTTTGGCTTTTTCTTGTTTGGTCAACTTTCAGTCAAAGGTTAACTCGTGATTGTTGGGTCCTTTGGGCAAGTGAGAAAGGGACACCATCTATTTGTCAGGGGGCCTGTTTCACGGGTTCCGCTCGCCTATCCCATTTTTGTTCTTCCAGGAAAGGGTCGGCTGGGTGGCAAGAGGCCTAAAAGATGTCTTCCTTTTGGTTTCCTGTAAGAGGGAAGTTAACTCAAAGCCATTTGTCAGAACCCATGCATGTTTGGTCACCCAACCCTTGAGCCAACCAACCGTTCGGAGCGGTCCAAGTGCGAGATTTCTCGGTCAAATCCCCTTTTTGCCTTCTGTTTTCCCACCCAACAATTGGTGTTCCCCCCCCCCACCCCGAAAAAAAGAGAGAGAGAGAAAGAGAGAGTACTCGGTTCCCCCTACTTCCTTGTAGAAACGTCAGTCGGTCGGCAACTCCGCCGTGCGGTGCGGTCGTCGGCGTCCCGGCCATGCGGCGAGTCGGAGGAAGTACAAGATCACAGAGGTGGCCCTGACCACTTTGCTGCGGACCGCGCGGAAGCAGCGCCGGGCCTTTCGGGAGCTGCTCGCCACGCCCGAGGAGGTGGGGCCTGGGCTGGTGGGGCTGAAGGGGTGAGGGGGTGAGGGGGGTGAGGGGGGTGAGGGGGGTTGAGGGGTGGGGCTACCAAATGAACCAGGGGCTGAGGGGGCAGGGGTTGGGGTTAGCAACCACCAACCACCAACCTAGAGAAGTATTGACGAAGCTAGGATAGCAAGTGACAAAGTGGCTGTTGCTCCGACCGTTCCCTGCAGGAAAAACAGAACTTAGGGTGCCAACATGGTTGATCTGCAACAGTGGGCTTGTCTTTTTTGAGGGAACCCTTCTTGGGATGGGTTTCAAGGGACACCCACAAGATTCCACCAACTTGGGGTTCCCCGATTGTAAGACACACCCACGTGTTGAATCCTCATGCCTTTGTGCTTGGGTTCCAGGGTTTCCTGAAAGAGGCTTGCCCAGTTTCAGTTGCGTGTGCCTCTATGTGTTGGAAAGGGCGGCCTGAGTTTGTGCACTTGTGGGGTGCTTGGGCTATCGCCCGCCCAGAAAAACGGGGAGAGAAGAGAGGGAGGGAGGGAGGGAGGGAGGGAGGGAGGGAGGGAGGGAGGGAGGGAGGGAGGGAGGGAGGAGGGAGGAGGGAGGAGGGGGAGGGGAGGGAGGGAGGGAAGGAAGGGAAGGGAAGGGAAGGGGAAGGGAAGGGAAGGGAAGGGAAGGGAAGGGAAGGGAAGGGAAGGGAGGGAGGGAGGGAGGGAGGGAGGGAGGGAGGGAGGAGGGAGGGAGGGGGAGGGAGGGAGGGAGGGAGGGGGGAGGGGGAGATATTGCCTGGCCGGGTGCCGCTACCACAGCCCCCCAACCCACACTTCACCCCGCCTCCCCCCTCCACCCCAAGCCGCGACCTGCGCCAGGTCCACAAGTTCCACTCCCTGCGCCTGCGCCTGGACGAGGGCGGATCTCAGGAGGCCCAGCGCCTGCTGGACGAGTACACGGCGCCTGGGCGTTTTTGAACTTTCGGCCCCGAAGAGGCGAAGAGGCGGAGGTGTCAGCTGCCCAAGAAGAAACAAACCACATAAACAGCAGGAAAAGAATGCGCTAAATCAAGACATGATCATGGTTGTTGGGAAACATTTTACATGTTTGCTTATTGTGGTTTAGTGGGGAACCCCCACTCAACTGCTAAAAAATGTTTTTTTTGCTCCCCTTCCAACGTCAACCCAGTGATGAACAATCATTTATAAATGGAAATCGCCAAACACTCCGTACGGTTTTCCCAAAGTTGGGCGGCCTTCCTGGCTACCCTGTTGAGCCATTTTGGCTCCCACCAACTCCCTCGAATTCCCCTTTCCAACTACTCAGACTTTTTGAGGTGTTTAGACATGACCATGTTGGTTGTTTACAGCATTTTCTAGGGGTTGATTCCCCATTAGTTTCAGCAAACACCAGCCCTTTTTACCCCAGGATTTGGGGTGGTTTTCTAGAAAGAAGGATCCCCGCAAAACTTCCCTTGGGCCGCTCCCCAGGTGCGCGTGGGCGACAGGGCCAAGGAGCTGCGCAGGGACTCGGAGCCCGAGGTCGCGGAGCTGGACACGGATTCCATGGCGAAGTTGATGCGCCCCGGGCGTGGAGTCAAATCTCTTTTGTTTTGGGGTTTTGGGCGGGCGGAGAAAACATCCTGCAGCCATCAGCCGACCATTTTTGGGGCAACTCTTCCGGCGATCCCGCATCCGGGGATCAACTTGCCCAAAATTGGGGGAGGGCGGCGTTCCGCAAAAAAAGGGCTGCCACAAGCATTTGGTCGAGTTTTTCGTCCTCCAGTTCCATTTGTCGAATTTCTAGGCACATGTCGCCATCCAGAAAACGGGCCGCCTGGGTGAAACGTTTCTCAGCAACGTATCCAGAGGACCCAGGGTTGCAGGTCCTTGGGCCGAGGAGCCAGGCCCAGAAGCTGCGCAAGGACGGCTACATCGAGTGGCACAAAGGCGGGGCGAGGCGGACGCGCCATGCTTTGGCCTATCAATTCACATGGAAACCGACACCTGTTTGTATCTTGTTACATTTTTATTATTATCTAGTATGCCAAAAGGATATGTTTTTGGAATAAATGGTTCCTTGTTTATTCTTTCTCTCTTTGCTACAATGATCATATATGCTTTTGCCTCTGTTCCTGTCACCGCCACCAAAGTCGTGGAGGATTTGTTTTTTCCGTTTCGCGCTGCGCTGCCGCGCGTCGCTTCGCTTCAGGTGCGATCGAGGAGGCCTTCTTCAGCTGGTGCGAGGCCGAGGCGAAGATCTACAAGAAGCGGCTGCCCGACGCCGCAGGTCGCTGGTTGGGCCGGTTGGGCCGGTTGGGCGGGGCTCGATACCTCGCAGCTCGGGAGGGAGGGAGAGACGCCGCCATAGTTGTTTTTTTCCGTGCTTTTTCTTTTTCTCTCCGGGTTGGTTTTTTGCCCATAAAAAATAGGTTGGGCGATTCTCCTGATTTAGATTGGTTTTTATTTTTCCGTTTGCCAGGGAAGCCCATCTATTTCTAAGCACCCGGCCAGAGACGCCGCTGGAGAGCCGGGAGGCCGCCAGTCCCTCGGTCGTGAAGGGGGGAAGCCAGCCGTTGGGTTTGTGTCTATGGGGCCAAAAAATGGGAGCTGGCCACCCAAAAAACACCTGGTACATGTAGAGACCCATGGAACTGTTGGTATTTGGGTGGCTATGAACTTTGGCCAATATGTATCCTAGGAGCCCTGGTTGGGTCGCAGAATTTGTTTAAAGGGTCCAAGCCCCAGAAAGACTCTACCCATCGTTGGAAAGGGTTGTGCAATTCAAGCACTTGCTGGACAACATGGTTAGGGGCAAAATCTCGGGGGTGGGCATGTTGCTCAACAGGATACGTGATTTCATAAGTCCCAGGTCCAAGTCGCTTTTTGTTTGGGCGAGGTGGGGAGGGTGGGAAGAGGGTGTCAACACGTGACCCCCACCCAAAATGGTGGCTTTCCTTGTGGTTTTCCTTTCAAAGCCACAAGCAAGGCGGTCCCCTCAATTCCCTAACTGTTTTGAAGAGGACCCCGTCCAAAGTTCGGTCCATTCTGAGAAGCCCGGAACAAGATCATTACTTGGTTTGAGATCGCTTGCTTGAGAGGCCTGGCTTGCCAGCCTCACCTGGGGTGCCCCGGGGGGGGCTGGCATTTCTTTCTTGCAGGAAACAAGTTGGTGGAGGACCTCCGCCTGATCCTGTTGAAGAACATCTCCCAGGCCACCAAAGTGGCCTTCCGCTTCGCCGAAGCCTTGCGAGAGAGACCTGGTGCGGGCATTCCCTGCCGAGAGCAAACGGCTCGGAAAACCTGAAGAGGAATCGGGCCCCTTGCCCTCGCTTCCTGAGTTCCGAAACGTCATATTTTTGGGAAGACCATTCTAGTGGTAAATGAAAGTTCGGGAGTTCTTTTTGGCCATCCACTTGATCGGAAGTGAGTGCCACATTTTTCCTCAGACACCTCAACTAGAAATGAGACATGGCCGTAACATAAACCATCCATCAAATTGCGTTTTCTTTATTCGGAAATGTCCAGGCTCATTCCATTTCCCATGCCCATCGCACCAAAGTCAAGCGGTTTAGCCCTGCAGGCGGCCATCAAGCTGAAGCACTGGACCGATGCGCTGAGGGCCGCAGATGAGGCGCTGGAGATCGACGACGAGGCCGGCAACGGGCGGCTCTTGGACTGAGAGCACGAAAATGTCGCCAAATAAGGATTTCCCCCCGAAAAACGAATAGATAAAACAACAGAATAATGGAAATGTTGAAATATCAGTAACAATAGTGATGTGAAATCCAAAGTTGTTTTCCTTTGGGTTCCCTCAGAAAAATCCGAACAACACAATTGACAGAAACCCAAAGAGTCATGGAAAAACCGGGCTTCAAAGTGAACACGTAGCCATGGGAACCGGCCATGGTTATTTTCCACAACTTTGGAACTAAGAAGCCGAGGCCGTGTAGTGATGTAGCAAGGAGCGCAAATAGCATGGCGGTCTAGCGCCAACCACAGGCAGTTGCGTGGTACTTGTGTATCTTTGCGTCAACTTGTGCTACTTTGCCGAATGTGTTGGGTATCTGGGTGTGTCTTTGTGTTGAGGCTACCCATCTTTCGGTGCTTTCCTTGAAGGAAAGCACGCGCCCATGTTCTGTTCTAAATGTTTGGAGCGTTCCAAATTTTTTGGAGTTGGTTTAACCGGAAACCACACGCCCCCGACCTTGGCTCCATGAAACTGAATCGTGAAAATTGGGGGACAGGGCGGTATTGAACCGGATGTAGTTCTTTGAGCTGGCGGGATTTTGTTCCATTTTTTTTCTCATTTTTTTTCGAGGGAACCCTTGAAGGGCTGTAAGGGAATCCGCTGGAAGGTTCTATTCGCCCCCAGCCCAGGACCACAAGTCCTGGTTTCGGCGCGCCTCTGCGCTGGAAGGCCTAGGCCGGCTGGCCACTTTTTCTGGTCGAGGTTGGGTGGTTGGGGGGGGGTTGGGTGGTGTGCGGTATGGTGGTGGGGTGGGGTTGAGGGTTGGGGTCGGGGGTTGGGGTGGGCGGGGTGGGTTTGGATGGAGACATCCCCGGTCCCCTCCATAGCGTGTCCTGGGGCCCTGCTTTGAACCACATGTTCGATGAATCTCTTTTCAATGGGCCCATTCAAACGTAGGTTATAAGCATGGTTCTAGCCAGCCACCATGGCCTTGTTTGCTCTTGGCCTTGGGTGTTGTGCTTAAGGTTAAAGCCGTGCTTGCGGAAGCAAGGCCTTTGGGGCAACTTTCTGTGATGCCCATGGCAGTTTCTCCACAAAGTTATGGCCTTAGGATGAATCTGGCTTGTTCTCCGAACATACAGTGGTTGGACGAAATCCATTTCGCACTACCGGAATGATTCGATTCATCTGCAAATGCCAACAAACGTATTGGTTCCAACCATGGTTTCATTTTGTGGTGGTGTGTGAACGGATTTCGCAACCACAGTAGTGTCATTGATCTTGACCTTGAGTAAAACATGGGCATGACTTGGGTGAGAATCCTACTGAAAGGGACGCCTTTCTGTGGAATCACCCGAGCCTTTGTCCGACTTCATCCACCGGCCTGGGTTCTCACCCGTGCGCTACGGGTGAGTCTCGTCACTCTGGCTCCCCCGATTCTAGTGGAAACAATCCCCCAAACACAGTTTTGAGAAGCCAAACCCAACCCAAAACCAACCCCTTTGAATAAAGTTCCACCAGGGGTACCCTTTGGCCGCCCCCAAACAAAGCACCCGAGCCTTTCTCCGACTTCCACCGGCCCCGAAGCTTCGAACGTCGCGCCCTCGACCCGTGGCGCCGCCGCCCCGAAGCCGCGCCCAGGGCGCGCCGCGGAGGCGGAGGAGGCCTTGGGCCGCGTGGAGAGCTGCGCCGTGGGCCGGGCGGACCGGGGCCGCGTCGCCCGCGACGTGGCGCTCCGCCGCGGCCCGGTGGCGCGAGAGATCGAGTGGACGAGAGAGAGAGCCATGGGCGGAGGGGCGTTGGGCTTGACTGCTGGTTGGGCAACGGGTCCTTAGACTTTCACTTTTTGGAAAGGAGATCAAGTTGGGTTTTCCGTACTAAACCCCCGAAAAGTGATTCTCTTATTGCAGGGGGGTCAACAGCAACCAGGGAGGAGAGGGGGCGGGCTGTGAGGTCGAAGAAACCAGCAGGGATTTTCTGGAGGGAAAAGGGGGAAGAACACCCAACAAAGGTCAATATTTCCTATTTTGGGGTGACAGCCAACTTTATTGTAGTCTTTCAGGGTCAAGGTATTGGATTGGATCTTCAACCCTTACTCCCCCTACAGATGAGCATGAAAGCGGAGACTGCTTTGGGAACCGGACACCCAGCGTATGTTAATTTGTAGGGAAGTCGCCTGTTGGGAATTGGCTGTTTTCTCAGTTGGTACACATTTTGAGTGCAGAAGGCGAAAACTGGCCGGACATTTTGATGGTCATGGATCAATGAGTGGGGGCCTTCATACGCTCCTACAAAGCCTGGCGTTCATCCCTAAACCCAGAAGACCATTTGTCGGGGAACCTTCCTTTTGGTTTCAGTGAAGGCGGCCCATCTCTCGAGCAATCCCGAAGAAATTCCCTGGCAATTGAAACACCACCTGTATGCGCCGTCCCCCAGCTTCCCGGGAACTCCTTGTGGGTTTATTCCCAAAACCCCTCAAATTCGACGCCCTAGCTCGCGCCTCCCGCGTCTTCCAGCCGAGGCGCCCGCCTCGCGGAAGACGCGCGGCGCCACCGCGCCACGGAGGGCGCGGCCTTCCGCAGGGCCCTGCGGCGGGGCGTCTTCGCGCACGAGGCGATCGGCGGATCGGCGGACCGCCGGGGGGTGGGAACGGGGAACCCGGGGGGGGGGGGGTGGGAACGAACCGGGGGGGGGGTGGGTGCCTCAGGGGGGGGGGGATGGATGGCAAGAAAGTGGAAGCAGGGGGACGAAGGAAATGTCCTTTTCTTTGTGCTGGACTTGGCTGGTTGACCTGCAATCTTTGGAATTGAACGGAATGGGTAGGGGGGGGGGGGGAAGCAGGTGCAATGTGGTCGTTTCCCCATCCAATTTAGGAAGCCGAAGGATTTTCTGCTAACCCACATCACATTTTCGAGGAGATGCCAGGATATGGAAAACAACCAGGTTCATGGTTTTCTAGCTGGTTCTCAGACAAACCATTTGTGATTTCCTTCAACTGCGTGGTCATTTCCAATGCCCCGGTTGATTCCTTGTTGACCAGCAAGATTAAGCCACCAAAGAGCTTCGACATTTTCATGAGACAAGTGATGCATGGTCATTGGGGGCCAAGATTCTTGAGCAACCCCCACATAAATGGTCATTCCCAACACCGGCCGATTTCGTGCAGTATGGGCATCCATCTATTTTGGACAAGGGATGTTTGAGGTAGGGCAGTTCCCTTCTGCGCCATCTACTTTCACACAGGACAACTTGCCCCTGTGCCAAGATTCCAAAAACGGATGCGTCCAGCGCACATGAACATGTCTTAAACTAGGGAATCCCCCCCCCCCCCAAAATGGGCGGTTTCCTTTTGAATTCCCACCAAAACCCACCACCAGCCCAAAACAGCGGTAGCATCTCAACCAAACGACGAGAGACCCACCTGGTCTTTCGGTTTTCCCCGCGCTCGCTCGCTCGCGCGTAGAGGTGGAGGACGAGGAGGCGGAGCTGCGGCAGCTGGAGGAGGAGCTGCGGATGCTGGACGCGGCCGCTGTCCCAATCGAGCGAGTCCGGGGGGGTAGCTTCCCTCCGTTTTTTTTCTTCCTCGTGGTGGTTGGAGGGGAGCCAAGGTGCATCGACATGGGGGTGGGTTCCTGCTTTCTCCCCTTCTTGTAAGCTGCAAAAGCCAAAGGGGCTACGCAAGGAACCGGGCTTTGTAGTGGCTTCTTAACAGGACTTCTGGATTAGGATTGGCCGAGCCTCCATTTTGAACCGCCTTTTTTGCCATTTGGTGCTTGGAACGGAACTGTGACCGAGCTGGGGGGTTTCACCTCTCTGACAGCAAAGAGGAAATTCTTCGGCCTTAAAAAGAGGCGTACCCATATGGGCGCGTCGTTTTGAGAGCCTCCCTGTGAGTCAGTGGCTTGGCGCACTCCCAAGAGGAAGGTCATGTTCCAAATGCGGCACGTCGCACTTCCAGGGAAGACAAAGAATACTAAGCCGTGCTTGGATCAAGCCCTGGCTCTTTGGGTACTCACCGGGTACTCCAAATAGCCAAGAGAGAAGCCGGGATAGGAAGGAGGTGCCTGAGGTAACAAAACCATTTGTACGGGGGGGGGGGGAATTCTGGCAGACCTCACATGTGTGTTGATCTTTTCAGTCATGGGATGCTTGGGTTGTTTGAAAAGTGCAGCGGACCTCTTGGCCTGCAGTTGGTCCAGCCCACAGAAATGGATCAAGCTCACCATCCCTTCATGCTCCCCTTGTTCTAGGATCTTGCTCTAGGATGTAGAAGGTATTACTCCGATTTGTTTCAGGAGGTCGGATGGATGGATCTTGGATGGAGACCGAGGCCGAGAAGTCGAAAGCGGATGCGGAGGTGGAGGCACGCTTCGCGGTGGGCGATCGCGCCTTGGCAAACGGGCGGAAGCCGAAGGCCACGCCTTCGCGGGAAGCAACGCGAGGGCGACTGCAAGGGATGGATTCGGCACTAAAACGGTGGGTCCGAGATTAAGGCCCCATCACCCTTTTGCTTGCACACTCCCATGCGTTGGTTTGTTGAAGGGGTTGCTTTCAAGCCTTACATCTGTCGGAGCTTTCCGGGGCTCGTCGGTCATGAGCCGGGCTTGCGCCTCAAATGCCAAGCTCCCGCCCTCCCGGAACCCCGACCTCCTCTTCCAATCTGGGGGCCTTGAGGCCACTTATGTACAGGGGGCACCAGAGAGTCAGGTTACCCTCGTGTCCATTAACATGGAATCCACCCAAGGTTCCCTTTTAACGGAAAATTCATCTTCCAGGACCCCGCACTCGGGTTCCATGTTACTGGACAGGAGGGGAGGTGGGAGGTGGTGGGGGGGGGGGGCTTGCTTCCCGGGGCCTAGGAGTTGTGGCCACCACTGGCCTGGGCGACGTGACTGTGGGCACTGGTGGCGTGGTGCAGGAGGTGGACGGCGATGGGGATGTCAAGGCGAGACTTTGGAGTTGAAGATCAGGTCTGGGCTATTTGGTTCCTTCTTCAACCTTTGACACTTTCTTGTGTTTAAAAATTCAAAAAAAACGTGTGTTTGCCCGACCTTAAACCAATTTTTGGTTAAACGTGTGTTTGCGTGTTTGCCCAAGAATCAACCAGCAATGGAGAGACTTGTGCCATCTACTTTCAGCCACCTGTAGCCATGTTCTAGGTTGTTCGCCGTGACAAGTACGGGGCATTTCCAGGTGCTCTTTGATGGCGAGGAGGAGGTCGGGGCTCGCTTGCGTTTCTCCTGTTGCGCCGGGAGTCTCTCAAAACGGCGGACAAGAGATGCAACGGGAAGCCGACCGTGTAGAAAGGGTAGCTACATGCTAGCCATCTTAAGGTCTTGGGGCTGGTTTCGCTGCAGCCTGTAGCTGCAAGAGCAGGATGATCAAAAGCGTACGGGAAGCCGAACGGGCCAACTATGTTTGGGGAAGCCCCATGCTGAGAAACGCCCTCCAGCTACCCCTCCAAGAATAACATGTCGCCCCAAGCTTGTGCAGTGGCCTGCCATTCTTGGTAGCTCTGGGGGAGGGCCCAGGTGGGTCCGGCGGGAAGTGACATGGGTGGAGTTTTCCAGAACATGTTAATTTGGGGGTGCGGGGGGTCCGGGAGGAAATGGGACGAGAGGCTGCCCGCAGGGGTTTTCAGAGCGTGGAAATCCACCGTGTGCCACATTTTCTCCTCCACTTGTCTCGAATTTTGGCGCCGGTGCGGAACGAGTTGGGCTCAGCCAACGTCTTGCTGTGAAACGTGGAAGTGGCTTTGCACAGGCGCAGCTGATCTTCAGCGTTGATTTTGAGAACTTGGCAAAGGAGGGCGCTGCGGCGTCCTTCGCGGAGGACGCCGCGTCTTGCGCTCCGCGGGAAGATGAGCCCCTCCTCCTCACGCTTGAGGGCGCCAGTGACGCTTAGACTTCGGGTTTGGTGAAGGTAAGTGGGGTCGCACGTGCGCGCGTGTGCGTTCTTTGGGCGCGCGGGCCAAAACTGGGCAGCCAAACCTTTCCTGTTCTGCTGATTTTGGGAGGCCACCGGTCTGCAACAGCTCATGTTTCTTTCCCGGTTCTCACAAAAAAATCAAATTTCCGCTGCCAGCCGAGGACTTGTTGGATGCCTTGGCCTCGGCCTATGAGGATCCCGGGGTCCAGCAGCAGCTGAGGAAGCTCTGCCGAGACGTGAAATGGAGTGCGCGGGAGTTCACCCAGCTGTTGCCCAAGGCCGCGTTTTTGAGTTTTTTTTTTTTTTTTTTTTTTTTTTTTTTTATTAATTTTAGTAGTGTTCTTTTTCTCCCCCTAACAGCTGAAAGCTCTGGGGTCTCATGCGAGGTCGGCTCCGGGGTGGTCGTTCACCCAGGTAGTGCCAGGGCTGCGGGCGGTCCGGGGAATTTAAAGGTAAGGTTCCATGAGGGTTCCACCAGGGGCGGAGAGGTTCTGCGAGGGTCTTACCAGGGTTCTAGCAGGGTTCTACAAGGTTCAGGGGGTTTGCAAAGTTCCACCAGGGTCTGCCGGATGGTGCGGGGCGGCCCTGAGGTTGACAGGGCCCCACAGAGTCCCACAAGGATCCACAGCCGTCTGAAGAGCCATCGGATAAATTGAGGGCTAAGAAGATCGCTTTGCTCATGGGCGGAACACAAAGCAAAACCGAAATCAATGATTTGCAGCTTCACTGTTTTGACTTGCTCACTTGCTCAGACAGCGCGGCCCGAAATGCTGGCTTCGTGGAAAATCAGATCACGTTGCTGCGGGACTCACTGTGCAGCAGCGTAAATGCTTGGCATTGCTGAGTATTGATTGGGCGGCTTTGGGCTCCATGGGTTCGAAGGGTTCCACGAGGCTGCAAGGGCTATGGGGTCAGGTTCTAAAAACACCCCACGAGGTTTTCACCAGGTTCTGCAAAAGCAATGCCTGAGGAAAGGTTCCAACAAAGTTTCACGCTGAGTTCGACGAGATTTCCACGAAAACGGTTTGCGAGATTCACCGCGCCCAGGTCGGGGCCCGATTGCACCGTCGGGGGCCCCGATTAGGGCGCGATTGCGCTGTCACTCTTAGCTTTGCTTTATAAAGTTACAAGGCGGCATCCTCAGCAAAACCGGTGAGGTGGGTTCCGGGGCAGGTTCCGCGAGGATTCTGGGAGGGTGTGGTGCTGTTGGGGATATCGCCTGAGCTTATTTTTTAAAGTTCTTTTTTTTTGGGCTCCCCTGGCGAGCCTTTTCTTTGGTGCATTTTGCTTGGATGTTAGGACTGAATAGCTTTTTGCTGGCTAAGGGTTTTCCATTAAACCAAGAACAAGTAAAAAAACTCTTGGCAGGGGAGGAGAAAGCAACCGAGTTTTTTTTGGATGACAGCAAGAGAAGGCGAGTGAAGGTTAGATAAGCCACTTCACACTTGAAGGCCATTTGGGGGGGGAGGGTTTCTAGGTTGCGGTGGGTGAGTTGTTTGAGGGAATCCAGACTTCAAGTCGGTGGACTCTTGGAAATGAGCCGCAAGGGATCGGATCGGATTGGCCAGAGGCAGCAAGTCAGGATCTGTCCACCTTGTATTTGTGTCTTGTTGATTTTGGACATGATGATGGTACATCTGGAATCCGTACCACTTTAGCCCTTGACCCAGGTGACTCAAGAAATGCGAGCGTGGAGTGGCAGTAACTCACCTCCTTTCGTTGTGTGGTTTTTGGGCTTGGATCGCCCTTCCTTGCCGCAGCCTTTCTCTTTCCCCAGCGGGTGTCCACGGGTGTCCTTTGGCTCGCCCAAGCCCTTTCACCTCGCGTCTCTCGCTCGCCTCGTGCGTCGCGTAGGTGGCGTTGGAGGCGCAGCGCGGGGTGCTGCCGCGCTGGGGCTTTGGGGGCTCCGAAGGCGCCCGCCACGCGGAGAAGGCGCTGCAGCAGGTCGGGTCGTCGGGTCGTCGGGTCGTCGGGTCGCAGTTGGGGGAACCGGTGTCAGGTACGCGGCGGTGGCGGTGGTTTGTGTTTATATTTGTTTTCCAACCCTTTTCGGTGGGTATTGAAAAAGCACGAAAAGAAACCTGGGAGGTTTGCCGATTTTAAGACTAACCCAGTTGGGTCGGTGGCGTTTTGTCCTGCGTTTGGATCCACAAGAGCCACCTATATAAAGTCTTAGGTTCTTTTTGAAGCGGCCTTCTCTTCTTTTGGTCGGTCCTGTGTCTAAGAACCCTGCCGGTCTGCAGTTCGTCCGGGGGACAGAGCACAAAGAGCGTCGACTGGAGGCCTACTCCCTTGTCACAGACCTTAGCTGACTCACCCGGCTTTGGATTGGAAGAACTAGACTGCAACTGCCCATTCCTTTGCATGCGTGTGGAGAAAAGAGGTGCTAACGAGAAGAAACCCGCCAAGCACAATACGAAGGGACCTCTAGGTTCTTGGCAATAGGCAGGCACATGAGCCAATTTTCTTGCGAGCCCTGGTCTTGGAATTATGACAATCGCAGAAAACATCGACCCTGATTTTTGCAAGGAAAGGAACTTTCTTAAACAAGGAATCCGAACAGGAATGTGTTTGAACGATACCTGCTTAAAGCAGGGGCTGGCGCAACCCAGGCGGTCGGTGCCTCGTGGGTGGCTGGGTGGCTTGGTTGGAGGGTTTGGGTGGGGGGGGGGTTGGAGGGTTTGGGTAGGGCAGGGGTGGGCTGGTGTAGTGTGAGAAAAAGATGGACCATTCTCCAGCTTGCACAAGAACAAATAAGAGGCGCACTTGCAGACTCCAACAACCAACATACTGCGGATGGGACGAAATCCTGCACCACTTTGACACCATGGGAACCAGCATTTGTTGATAATAGAGAGGGGGATCATCAGAAACCAGGGTTTCTTAGGTGGAAATGGTGGAAAGTGGATTTCGTCCATCCACAGCATGGGCGTTTTCTCAAGATCAGGACCTCCTCCAGGTGTGTTTTCTTTTTGCTTTTCACCAGTTCAGATGGATGAAGCCCCATGAACACTGGGGTAGCCGGTGCCTGGCGTCGACTGCGGAGGCCAAAGACTCGGCGGCTTTGGCGCAGCGACAGTTTCTGGAGCAGCAGTCGGAGAGGGTGACCAGGCAAGCCCTCATTTTTGTTCTATTTTTCTTTAGAATTATATGAAACATAATGTTTTTCTTTGGATGTTTTTTTCTTTTTCTTTTTTTGGGGGGGGGGAGGAACGGAGCATGGCACTTGGGGTCTATTTTCTTGGTGGTTCCTAGTTCCCGGCCATCCCGTTCAGTTTTGTTCCCCCCCGGGTTTAGTGGTTGGGTTTCCCAATTGAAACCACTGAACACTTAACTTTTAGCAGGGGATCTGCGGACAGCCCAGTTTTGCAAACACCCTACGCCTTAGCTGCCTGCATGCCGGGCATACAGGGGATCAAGTCATAGGTGTCCTTTCTAGGGTAGTTTGATTAAAATTAGATGGCACCAAGGGTAGAGCTTCAGCTGGCTGGCAGAACATGATAATTAGTCGCTAGCTGGCGCAATACGGGAATTCCCGTTTAGGTTGCAACAGGTTTGGCCAGCAAGAATGGGACCCGGACGTGTGCAGACTAGAATTGGCTAGAGAGGTCGTTTTCTCCCGCATGGCCGATGTAGGTTGAGAACAGAAGTGCCAACGGGAAGAAGCCGGCGAACCAAGTGCAAGGGACTTTTCAGGTTCTTGCGGGTAGGCGTGTTGGCCTGACTATGGCAAACCGGTCCGGTAAAGCGAGCTTTCTTTTTTTTCTTGGATCCTAATTTCAGGTTTTGGACATAACAAATGTGTCTGTCTTAAACGGGTGGGCCCACGAAAATGTCTGGCTTCCTTTTCGTTTCCCCTTGAAGCCAGGCATTTCAGATTAAGCGAGCCTCAAAAAGCGGGAACCACGCCCACATTGCAAGCACAGATCTCACGGGTTCTCCCGGAAAGCGAAAGCGAAACCGGGAGGCTTCTCTTTGGCGAGATGTACGAGGTCGTTTTCAGACACTCTGACTGACCCGGCGCCTGGCGCCTGCGAACCTTGCTGAGCCGGGGTCGCGAACCCGAGTCGGCGCGGGGTGTGCGTTGCTTAAAAGTTGCTGACAGCCAAAGCCAAAAGGGGATGGGTATTTGTTTCTTTTTAGTTTGTCCATACCATGCCACACAAATTACTCGACATCCAGTCGACCCAGGTGGTTAGGGCGGATGTCTTTCTCCCTTGGCATCACATCGTCCAGTTGAGCAGGCGGGACGTGTTAACGAGCAGCTGCCGCGCCTTTTGGTCACGAGGGCCAGAAATGCGAGAGCGAAAACGGCTGCGCGTGGCCAGTGCCCACCTTACATTGCCTTACATGGAGTGAGAAGATGGACTCTGGCACGGTGTTCTCTAAGAGTGCCAGTTCTTTTTTTGGCTGCACCAGTGGAGAGGAGGGGCTTTTGGGACTACTGTCCGTTCGAAAAGCCCCCAAAGGTCCACTTGCATGATTGTTGGCAGGGGCCGGCCAGTTCCCGGAAGAGGGCCAAAGAGTGCCATAGTCAGCCACTCTTGGGAGACTTGGGGCTAGGGGCTAGTTCGGCTCCAAACCACGCAAGGAAGCTGAGAGCATAGGTGTCCTTTTTAGGTTGGTTTGGTTAAACATAGATGGCACTGGTTTAGACGGGGTTTCTTCCAAGGGCCATTCCTGTTTTTCAAATCAGAAGGCGTCACTGGCTAAGAGCCAGACCGAAGGCCTTGGTCGGCCAAAGCGCCCCCGAGCCAGAGACGAGGGGAAGGCCTCGCCGTGAGGCGCACTTCCCCACCGCCAGCGAAGCCTTCCAAGCCGCGCGGGCCTCGGGCCACGGGGCCACGGGCTCCGTGCGCGCCTCGAGGCCAAGAGGAGGGGATCGATCCGCTGTCCGTTGGGTTTTTTGAACTCTGCCGGAGTCCTGAAATGGAAGGGTCTCCAAAAAGGGAAGCGTGGTGTTTTTTTGTTTTGGTTTTTTGTGCCAAAGCCCCGGCTCGGGGGCTGCCAGGGGGCTGGTTGGTTGGTTGGTTGGTTGGTTGGTTGGTTGGTTGGTTGGTTGGTTGGTTGGTTGGTTGGTTGGTTGGTGGGTTGGTGGGTTGGTTGGTTGGTTGGTTGGTTGGTTGGGTTCGTTGCTGGGCTGGGATTCCCAGCATCCCCGTTGCTTGGTGTCAGGGCTGCATTTGGTGGCAGTTGTCGGGTTTAACCGGCCGCATCCCCAGCATCACCCCACCGTCAAACCTGGAATGGATCTATGAGCCATCCATCCGGTTTTTGTCATCCAGCCTCAGGTGGCCAAAGGTGTCGAAGCTGGGAGCATGCACGACTTCGAGGTGCTGGTGGAGTGCGGCCGTCGGCTTCGGCTCAATCAAACGCGCGTCGACTCGAGTCGGGTGCGGACTTTTTCGGGAGGGCGGATGAACGTTTAAGGAGGGGGCTGTGTGGGAGTGCGCTGTTATTTTGCGCGTAGGTTTGGTTGTCTTCGGATGGAATTCTGTGCGTATTGTTTGCACTGGCGTCTATGCAGTGTGATTGATTACATTGACCTGCAACATTGGAAATCCAACCGCTTTTTCTGGCAGAGAATGGCCCACCTGGTGTTGGTTAATGGTATGTCATTTCGTCACTGGTAGCGCCAGTGTACTCATAATCACATCCTTCCCTTGAAAGAGCCAAGAGGTTTTGAAGAGTCTAATAACTTCTGCGTACAAATTTGAAAACACATATCAAGTCAGAGAGCCAGTTTGCAATTGTGAGATTTTGGCCTTGGAACTTTTAGTCTTGGCATGTGTGCATGGGAGATTTTTTACCGCACATAAATGTGTGTTGAGCTCGATTAAGGCAACCGCATATTCAAATTCACCGTAAATACCTCTGATTTGGCCTAGGTTGCTAGCTTGTATATCCATGAATTGAGAGTTATAAGTATATGATTCGTTACGTTGTGTTTGAACCTCTTTGTGCCAAGTTTAGCTCATATGCACATGAGTCTGACTATTTGCTCGGGAATATTGCGCTCCTTGGTTTAAAGAATGTGTTGACACCATAACCATTGGTCAATACATTATATGTATATGTGGTTGGATCGTTTGATGGTGCAAGCTTCCAAAAGTGGGTATCATAATCTCTTCAATACGTGAAAAGTACGGCTTATTGTTTGGATTGAGATGATGTCTGAGTAGCTTGTCTGTCTCAATATGAACCTATCATTGGAAATATATATATATATATATATATTTATACATACATACATATATACATATGTGCCAATACTAGAAACACATGACAGCCACACATGCAATGACATTCAGTTTAAATGTATGGACCGCTCAACCAGAGTCGTTCCCCTGTGCCCAAAACTAAGCGAAACTCTGAAGTCACTAACAAACCAATACAACAAAAGTGAAGTCTTTCTACTGGATCAAACCGGTCCAAAACACAAAAACCTCGCGACACCCAAAAACATAGCCAAAAAACATTTCCAAAAAAGAGCAACCAATCAAACAAGACATTCTCCCAGAGCTCTTGACACAGTGAGTGGCTACTTCTGGAAATAATATTTGGATTGTTTTTTGTTCTTTTGGTTTTATATTTTTGTCTTGTCGAGTTTTTGTTGTTTGAGGACTGTCTGAGGATTGTTTTTTGGGTTTGTATTGCTTGGTGTCTCTCAAAGTTTGCTTTCAGACTCCTTTGATCCTTGCTTTAGTTTTGCTATTGAAGAGCGTACAGAGGCACAGAAAGAACTTACTACGAACCTGCACCGGAAGACCATAAACCAAAGCAGTTCTCATCGTCAACAAGCATGGCAAAATGCAAAAAGGCTCTCGCAGTCCCCGGTTTCGAAGGTTGCCTAAGGCAAGTCTGACACTTTCTGGGGTCTCCTCCAAGCAGCTTTTTTTGGTTTTTCTTGCAGGGAATCCCGAAGCAAGCGGTTTGCGTTTGCTCATTGTGGAAGCATGTACGCGCCAGTGCTTGAGCTATCGGTTTCAATTTGATTGTGTTGCAGCGGTTCATATGCGTGTGCGATTCGGTTGGGGACAGTGACGCCCGATGTTGTAGCGGTCATATCTTCTGGACTGGCAGATCGGTTCGTTTAACACAGGAATCGCTCGCAGGGTGCGGCTGGAGATCTCGCAAGGTTGAAGGTTGGAGGAGAGGCCCCCCCCAAAGGTTGGAGGAGGAGAGGGGGCCCTGGCTACAGGGAAACAAGTGCATGCAGCATTGCGGGCTTTCAAAGGGCTCTTGAAAAAAAAGTCCCATGGAGGCGCGGAGGTGCCCCTTCCCCTGTTGGACTTCGGGTCGCCCAACATCCCATCTTGATCTAAGTCCCAGTGGGTCTTAGATTGGCAGGGTTTTTCCGAGTCAGAGCCCGGTTTGCGCTTGTGGTTTTGGGCCCCAACGCGAACCCTCCGTTTGAGTGGTTCCCTTGAAGTTGGGCACGGAATCACTGAGCTACAGGGTCTTCACGGCTATGACCCCTGGAATTTAGGAATTGGCCGTTTTTTTTTTTCATCTATCCGTTTTGGGACGGTTTAGGCAACAGAAACAAAAGACAACTCGCATTCGCACCGATGAGGAGAGCTTTCTATTTTGAGAGAAGCCGCTAGAGGTCCAGCAGAAACGTGTACCATGGCTTGAGTCGTAGGTTTCTAGACACGATTTCACGTGTCTACGTACTTGTGCTTTACTTTCTGGACTTTCAAACTTTGGGAGCGTGGGTGCCATTGGTAACCAGATCTTTGACTTTCAGCTTATTGGGTTTCCATGAGGCCAAGCAACATCTATGGAACATGTTTTGTGTTTTTGATGTGTATTTGGTCTTTTTCTTGTAGAAATTCCAGTAGCTGGTTTCTATGAGGGTTGGACATGTGTATCCAACACAAATACTATCCCCAAAAGTAAAACACCGGTTGTGGGGGTAACGACCACCGATAAAACCACATCTTTCGGGCAGAGCACGCTAGTTTGTTGTTTGGTTCTCACCCAGTGCGTGGCATTTCCCTTTTTTTTCCGATTATGTTTTCTTTTCTTTTCTCGGGGGGTGGGGGGTTCCTTTTCAAAGCAAGTCCTACACCACTCTCTCCACTTGGGATCCGGGGGTCAATCCACGAAGATGTGGCCGCAGCCTTTTGGCACTATTTGGTGAGGGCTTTCTGACTGGGCACGCTGTAGCTGGCCCCGGAAAGCGTCGGCATCCTACGCGCCTGTGTTTGCTTTCTTCCAGAGGTTTGTCCTTTTTCCAAAGGAAAATGTTGCCATTTCAATGGGGGGTAAACCCTGTGTCGAGTTGCGAAGCTTGGCAGCTTCTAAACATCGTTTAGTCAAAACAACCAAACAGTGGAGCCACACTCAACAGCACATGGGAAGGTGAAGGTTGGTAAGGGACGGCCCCCTTGACATCTGCAGGTGCAATATCCACCCTTTTCCTTCATTACCAAGGTTTTGGCTGGGCCACCATGTTTTGATTGTGATTTACCTGGTATGTCAGCCTTCCTTTTGGTTTTGTTTGAGCCAGTCTGAAAAGGGCAACTCAGTAGAGCTTTTTTAGCAAGCGAAAACTCTGCAGGTCCGCCGTTTACCCTCTGCAGCTTGTGGTTGGTCCGCCTCACGAGCCTAGTTTTCCTGACTTGTCTGCAACCAACGTCTGATGTTCGGGGATGGCCACATTCCCTCCCTTAGATCAATTCAGTTGGATGTGGTTCAGCGCGACTCATGCTTTTGATTGGACATGTTTGCAGGCCTTCCCCCGCCCTGGCCCACCCCCGCCTAGAGAATTCGACCAAAGTGAAATCGATTGGATTTGACCCGCCTGAATGTTGATCTGCGCCTTCCCAGTACCTATATAGGTAATCAAGGGGCACTACCAGCTTGGATTCCCTGGGTTAGTTGCAAACCAAAAGGGATCGACCGGGCTTGCAATTGAAGAAACTTACCAACCAGTCGCGCCCCTGTAAAACTTTGACCATCAAAACAATATTTTGTCATATGCTGGTATCTTTTGTTGCGCCAACCAAGTTCTCCCGGTCTTTTCTTCAAACAGCAAAGGCTTTGTTCGTGTGACGCCTTGATTGGTGGCCTTGGCATCCAGCGTTGAATCCGGACGTGTTGAAGAAGCGCACATGGTGTCACAACCAACACCCCAATTCGGCTGTGTAACGACTTCACCCACGATGGTTTAGAAGACTTGAGTGTTTTTCAATGCCCGTTTTTTTTTGGTTCTGGCTACTTGGTTGGATCTTTGGACTTTAACTTTGGGGGACACAGAGGAATTTCCATTGGAGCCACAACAAGTTACACTTTTTGCAGAGGGGGTCAACAACAACCAACTTTCCAGGGTTATGCGAGTTCCAAACTTGCAACCAGGGACCAAATGGTTTTCCAACCAGTCTGCTTTTCGCCCTCCGTTTCTCTTCTATGGGTGCAAATTGGTTTTCTTCCAAGGTTTTGCAGCCTTCTGGAAGCTCAAAACAGACCCAAGACGTGGTTGGCAAAAATTCGGGTCCCCTTTCGGACATGTCGCGGTAAACAGGTAAGCGCAAGGATGGCCGAGGCCTGCAGAGCGTGCATGGAATTCAAGTCTGCCTCAGAGGGGGTTTTGCATGCGTGCAAGGAGTTCGATGCTTGGGACTCGGCTCTCGTAGGAGCCATGGATACTTGGCCGCCAGAGTGTGACCGAAGCAACCTTTTTCATTTTACCCCCGGAGTTCCTGAACTTTATAATTTGTGGTAAGACCGATGTGGCAAAGAAGCAGTCTTGTTTGGTCCCATCGGAAGCTTAAGCTCTAGAAGCTTCTTGCTTTGATGTCCACGCCAAGGAGAAACATCAGATGCACGTGGCTTTTCAAGAGGATGTGAACAAGAAGAGTGGTTTCCGAACCGCTTCCACGCGCGATGATGCACCGACCCGGGAAACTCCCGCAGAGAAGGAGGGCATGTTCAAGGAGTCAAAGCAGGATGCCAGGATTCAAGAGCAGTGCCTTATCAGCAAAAGTTAGGGACACAAGTTTAGACAAACGATTTGGTCAATTCACAAATTCACAGTGGGACCGGGCTTCCTGAAAGAGTCGCTTATGACCAGTTCCACCAAAGAACTCCGAAGCCCGTTTGGGTGTGTACTCTGTTGAGTTCACCCTCTTTACCATTTTTGAAACGGGGAAAGGCCACAATATGCTGGGCTCGATTTGGCCTGACGAAGCCCATTTATTTGCAGGTGGCCGGGGTAACCTTTCTTTGGTGCATTTTGCCAAGGGATGTTAGGACTGAACAACTTTTTGCCAACGAACGGGTTTTCCGTATTCAACCACTAAAAGTTGTTCACTTTTAGCAGGGGAGCAGAAAGCAAGCGAGTTAAGTGGAAGTGCGCCTCGTTGCGGTTTGTCAATGCCTTCATGTTTGGAGCCGGGGGGCAGCCAAGGCACAAGAGGCGAAAGCGGGCGAGCGTGTTGCTCTTGAGGTTCCTGGAGTCGAATGGCTTCAAGGACCATGTGAATTGCAAGAAGTCTTGGTGCCTGGGGTTCAAGTACACCTATCCCCTGCATGAGGCTGCAAAGCAGAATGACAGGGACGTGGTTGCTTTGGTGCATTTTGCCAAGTCATGTTAGGACTTTCACTTTTTGCCAACTAATGGATTTACCTTTTTGCCAACTAAGGGATGTTGAACTACAAAAGTTTTTCACTTTTTGCAGGGGAGCAAAAAGCAAGCGAGGTTACGTGGCTGCTGCGCTTCGGAGCTGACCCCGGAAAACGGGATGCCGCGGGCAGGACGGCGTTGAACTCCATCAAGGACTTGCCGTCGCATTGCGAGGTGCGCCACATCTTGGAGCGTCCGAAAGGTCGGTGGCAGCTGCGCGGCTTTGAGCATTTTTTTTCGGAGGTCCAGCGGGTTGATCCACTGGCACATGGTTGAATTCTTGTGGAGTCGGGGAACCCACCCGCTGGATACAGCTGGATGCCGAAGAAATCGGCGACCAGAGGGCCAGGTGAGCCTCAATCAAAACCCGGGTAGATGAAGGTTAGTAAGGGTCAATCCCAGCCAGAAATAGCTGCGGATATCCGCCTTCTAAATTCTTGAAGCATGATTGTGGGTGCAGCATTTTGTACCAGGTTTTGATTATGACTCAGGTTACGACCGTAATTCAGTGGCTGCCACTTGAGCGGCCCTTAGAATAATGCGGGGCTTCCGCTGACGATGTGCTCCATAGCGAGCATGATGCTAGATTTGGCGTGCTCGGGTGTGTCAGAGAGGGGCTGGTTTTTTCGATGAACTCGATTGATTGTTAATGCGAGGCACCGCGAATCTTCGCCAAATCAACAGGGACAGGGATACTTCTGCGTTGCTTCCAGCCAAATCATTTCCCGGCTAATGAGAACAGGGGATCTTCTGACCACGTTAATTACTTAAAGGCTAATCATATGGGTGCTTCTCAAAGGGAGTAAAGGTTGGCTTCATTTTGTTTGTTTCAATTACCAACTTCATAAGGGGTTCCGAATCGCATTCGCCAAACGCATTTCCTGGCATGTTTGAAGCCAGCGTCAATCGTCTCGGATTAATCCGTGCGGACGGCGCGAGAACGGTTTTCCATGTTTTTGTTTCTCCTTTTTTGGATTGAGCAGGATAAACTGAAGGAAAGTGAACTTTTTGAGAGGTTCTCAAGATTACTTTTGGGTTTTAGTTCAAGGCGCCGTAAAACGCTAGCTTCATTGCATCCAGAACTGACCTGTCGCTTGAATTGTTCAAACTTATCCGTGGGTAACACGAGCAATTCCACCTAAGCTGCGGCCTCAGTCAAGCAAATCTTGGTTTTCCGCTTGGTTTCCCGTCTCTGTGTGCCCGCTTGCGAGTCACTGGTCCAATTTTGTTGCGTCAAATCCTGACGACAATGCCCCACGGCACGTTGCAACATGGACTTGTTTGTTTCTTGTGTATGTGTGTGTGCACCCGTTTCCTCGCCCCACCCCCCCAGATATTCATCAAAGGTTAGCATGTGGTCGTCAGATTTGGTTGGGTTCCTTCTGTGGGGTGCTGAGGAGAAACACAGGCTCCCTCTCTAAGTTCATGGACTTCAGATGATTTGGGAAGGCCATGGACGAAGCTAAGTTTGACCTTGCTCTCAGAGTCTCACCAATCCACTTGGAAAGTGAGAGGCAGGGACGCATATCCCTAGTTACCCATTGCCAAGAACCTATTTACTGTCCAAGTATGGGGGGGGGGGCAAGGAATCCCTGACTTTTCTTGGCATGTTTGTATTTTGGCCTTTGGTTCTTCAGTTTCAGGGACGGCCAATACCTAACTTGCTTGGGAAGCATCCAGGGGTTGGGAAGAATCCCCGTGCTTGTTTGCAAGGGTGTCCCTGAAAACTCACCGGTTTGGAAAAGCACGAACTTTCAAAAAAACTGCACACACTCCAAAGCAGAGCAATATTCCAGCCGATTGCTGAGGTCTGTTCACAGTTTCGATGGCGCGTATGCTTCCTGCGCGTCCGAACCACTTGGACAGTTGCCAAATCGCGCCGTTTCTTCTCAAAGGAACTTTCAGGTGTCCAAAAGCGAAAGGCCGGGATGTTCAGCGTCAGAACTACTCTTGCGGGCCTTTCCCTTCAACACATCAGACATACATACATACATACATACATACATACATACATACATACATACATACATACATACATACATACATACATACATACATACATACATACATACATGCATACATGCATACATACATCACATGCATACATGCATACATGCATACATGCATACATGCATACATGCATACATGCATACATGCATACATGCATACATGCATACATGCATACATGCATACATGCATACATGCATACATGCATACATGCATACATGCATACATGCATACATGCATACACACCCACACTCACACACGCAACCTTCTCCACCATATATGATTACACCTATGTATAATTGAATTCCTGTGGTGTCATTTGGGGGAAGGCTTGGGGAATGAACTTTTGGAATGTGAAAATAAAATCGGTTTATCAAGACATGAACTATGTAATTGGACGAATCATACTGAAGGTATACCAGTTATTGATGATGAAGGAACAATTTGTGTGGCTTCATTTTTCCATTTTTTATGTAAATATTGGAAAGGGTTGGAATGATATTTGGGGAAAAAACCGAAAAGTATTTTACGAGGTTCCATAAGTATTTTAAGACATAAACAACGCCATAAACAAAGAATAAACACATAAATTTACTAAATGTAAACTTTATCAAATAATCCAATGTTATTCAATCCTATAAATTGTACACTTCTCCATCATAAGACGCAATAACCGCCGTCCAATAAGGATTGAGATGACCTCTAAAAGTGGTTTTTGACAATTGAAGTTGACAGTCCCATTTTTCATGGTGAGGGTACCTCACCTTGGCTTAAAGGCAAACCAAAATGACATCCACTGTTGTCCAAACACATATTTCAGGGTATACTATGAGCTGGAATCCGGACATATTATTTTCTGTATCCCCTTGTTTGTGGGCCATGTTTTTCCCGCATTGATATAACATGCAATTCCAACGCATGTGGACTGGCGCTGAAGGATTCCGTTGGAAGTTGCTCGGCTTAAAGCGATTTGCCCGCGTCGAACGCCAGCTTGAATCAATGGACTAGGCCGTAGGCTGTCGCTTGCCAAATCGAAACAGCAATGTTACCCCCTTTGAAACGGCAGCTGTTTCCGTGCAGCCGAACGGCATTGAACTCGATCAAGGACTTGCCGTCTCATTGCGAGTTGCGCCGTGTGATTGTTTTTTTCAGCGGTCCAGTGGAATTCCCATGGAGTTACGGAGCCCACCCGGATGGATGCCGAAATAGGCGACCAGAGGGCCATGACCGAAGTGGCCGAATTACCTCGGCCTTAGAACTGCAATGCGGGGCTTCCGCTGACGATGTGCTCCATGGCGAGCATGATGCTAGATTTGGAGTGCTCGGGTGTGTCAGAGAGGGACTGGTTTTTTCGATGAACCCGATTGATTGTTAATGCGAAGCACTGCGAATCTTCGCCAAATCAACAGGGACAGGGATACTTCTGCGTTGCTTCGAGCCAAATCATTTCCCGGCTAATGAGAACAGGGGATCTTCTGACCACGTTAATTACTTAAAGGCTAATCATATGGGTGCTTCTCAAAGGGAGTAAAGGTTGGCTTCATTTTGTTTGTTTCAATTACCAACTTCATAAGGGGTTCCGAATCGCATTCGCCAAACGCATTTCCTGGCATGTTTGAAGCCAGCGTCATCGTCTCGGATTCATTTGTGCCGTGCAGACGGCGCAAGAACGGTGTTCCATGTTTTTTTTCTCCTTTTTTGGATTGAGCAGGAGAAGCTGAAGGAAAGTGAACTTTTTGAGAGGTTCTCAAGATTACTTTTGGGTTTCCATTCCGCCGTAAAACGCTAACTTCATTGCATCCAGAACTGACCTGTCGCTTTCATTGTTCAAACTTATCCGTGGGTAACACGAGCAATTCCACCTAAGCTGCGGCCTCAGTCAAGCAAATCTTGGTTTTCCGCTTGGTTTCCCGTCTCTGTGCGCCCGCTTGCGAGTCACTGGTCCAATTTTGTTGCGTCAAATCCTGACGACAATGCCCCACGGCACGTTGCAACGTAGACTTGCTTTTCTCTTGTGTATGTGTATGCGTCCACCCGTTTCCTCGCCCCACCCCCCAGATACTCATCAAAGGTTAGCATGTGGTCGTCAGATTTGGTTGGGTTCCTTCTGTGGGGTGCTGAGGAGAAACATAGGCTCACTCTCTAAGTTCCTGGACTTCAAATGATTGGGAAGGCCATGGACGAAGCTAAGTTTGACCTTGCTCTCAGAGTCTCACCAATACTTGGGAAGTGAGACGCAGGGACGCCTATCCCTAGTTACCCATTGCCAAGAACCGACTCACTGTCCAGGGGGGGAGGGAAGAAGGAATCCCTAATGTTTGTTGGCATCTTTGTATTGATTCTTCAGTTTCAGGGACGGCCAATACCTAACTTGCTTGCTAAGCATCCAGGGTTGGGAAGAATCCCTCTACTTGTTTTTAGGGGTGTCCCTGAAAACTCACCGGTTTGGAAAAGCACGAACTTTCAAAAAATCTGCCACACTCCAAAGCAGAGGCATATTCCAGCCCATCGCTGAGGTCTGTTCACAGTTTCGGTGGCGCATATGCGTCCGAACCACTTGGACAGTTGTACAGGCCTTACCGTACGTTTGCCAAATCGTGCCGTTGCTGCTCAAAGGAACTTTCAGGTGCCAAAAGCGAAAGGCAGGGATATTCAGCGTCAGAGCTACTTTTGCGGGCCTTTCCCTTCAACACATCAGGTTATGTGTTTTTGGGTGAGGGTACCTCAACATGGCTTAAAGGCGAACCAACATGAAATTCATTGTTGTCCAAAAACATGTTTCAGGGTATGCTATGAGCTGGAATCCGGACATATTATTTTCTGTACCCCCTTGTTTGTGGGCCATGTTTTTCCACATTGACATGACATGCAATTCCAACGCATTTGGACTGGCGCTGAAAGATTCCGTTGGAAGTTGCTCGGCTTAAAGCGATTTGCCCGCGTCGAACGCCAGCTTGAATCAATGGACTAGGCCGTAGGCTGTCGCTTGCCAAATCGAAACAGCAATGTTACCCTTTGAAACGGCAGCTGTTTCCGTGCAGCCGAACGGCGTTGAACTCGATCAAGGACTTGCCGTCTATTGCGAGTTGCGCCATGTGATTATGTTTTTCAGCGGTCCAGTGGAATTCCCATGGAGTTAGGGAGCCCACCCGGATGGATGCCGAAATAGGCGACCAGAGGCCCATGACCGAAGTGGCCGAATTACCTCGGCCTTAGAACTGCAATGCGGGGCTTCCGCTGACGATGTGCTCCATGGCGAGCATGATGCT